GCTCGCAACTAGCGTGAATTTTAACATACGCTAGGGTGAGATATTGGTTGGAGATGATCGTGACGGAGAGATTAAAATTTGGGAATATTATACGAGAAACACGTAAGCGCTTGCAGAGTGCAAAAGCGCTCGCAACTAGCGTGAATTTAACATGCGCTAGGATTAATTGGAATCGGAATATTAAATGAGGGTATAGGGGTAGATGAATCTAATTGATGTGAGAAATAATTTTTATCATAGGCACCAGGGGGGATGCCCGCAACTAACGTGAATGTCAAACGTACGCTAGGGAGATGAAGAGAGAATTTGAAAGCTTAAGTGCTCGGAATAGCCGCGAACACTCGCAACTGACGTGGTTGCAATCAAACGTCAGGATGTTATAATATTAGGAAAGAAGTGAAGCCATAAGTACATGGGATAGCCTACATATACTCGCAACTAGCGTGAATTGCAACGTACGCTAGGATGAAATATTTAATTAGGGAGTTTAAAAAGTGAAAAGGATAGAAAAGAAAAAAATGAGATTTTTGAAGGAAAAGTCAAACTTGTATGAAAATATCCGGCGGATATTGACATACAAGTGGTTTAGCTGAAAAGAAATTTATTGTTAGGGTAGCATCACTTGATAGCTTTCTTGAGCTATTTTCGTCATATAATATGACACTTTTCCAAATCCTTGACTTGGTCTCGAGAACCGCTCCGTTGGACGGGGGAGGAACGCTGCTTTGAATAAGCGAGGAGAAAAAAGCCAGAGAAGTGCGTCCTCTTGTTCAATCTCAATGACCTGTAGTCCAAGGAGTAGGCCGCCAGAATTGATTCCAAACTTTGTTCTTCAAGCGGGCAAGGGACCTCCGCTACTAAACAGGAACAGCGCTTTCATGTCCTTGATCCATGACTGGTGATTCCAAACTTCGTTCTTCAAGCGGGCAAGGGACCTCCGCTACTAACCAGGAACAGCGCTTTCAAGTCCTTGATCCATTACTGATGCTGAGGGCAAGTCCTTTTCCTTCATAAGAGTCCGAGTCCAATTTCCAAGATGAGAGAGAGAGTCCAGTCCAGGTGAGTTCCAAGGGAGATCCGTCCAGTCCGGCAGTTGAGACACAAGTGAAGATAGTAGCCGGTCCCTGGGTACTCCATGACAGCGCAAGAGCCAAAAGGAACAAAACCCCGAAACCTCCCGTCCGAAGAGGCGTCGCTGGGCTGATCTGTGCTAACGGCGGAGTGAATAAACTGGTGTTTTTAATCTTGGATCTGGACTTTCTGCATTTTTAATAATTGTAACTGATAGCTCTCAACGAGTACTTTTCGGAAAATACAATAGTTCCGTGGAAACTTGCGTGCGGAGAATAAGAAAAGCTCATCAAAATGTTCACAACGAGCAGTTACACGCGGGACATGGGGTACTTAAGCACTAATATAAAGTGAACTTAGGAGCATATTGCAAGGTTTTATGGTAGATTTGCGAAGAAGGTTACTGTTAGAAGTGATTTAAAGCAAAGGGAACGAAAGTGCCGTTCTCTGCATGCTAGTTTTAACGATGGTAAGTGCTGGCTAGGCGGGAGGGGAGGTGAAGCGGCGGGATCTGCGCGCAAGTACGGTCAGAGCTGGAATGATTTCATTGGCTCCTGGAATTTTGCTCGGCCGAGCTTCGATTATGCAACGAGCCAATGAGGAGTGATGTTCGCGCGGGAAAATTCAAAGAGGTGGTTTTCTCTCTTATTCATATTTCCCGCTCGGGATTAATTTTTGCGCGGGAATAGATGCTAGCTGATAGCCAGTAAAATTGAAGGGAGAAGCTACACAGGCAGTAGCTCACTTAGCTATTGGTGCTCGCATAAATGTGGGAGCTGCTTTAATTTTAATCCTGAATAATTTTGCTTTGTAGCTTTTTAGCAGGAAAAACTCTGTTTTTCTCTAAGACATAATAATTTTCGCATTGGAAAAATGAATGCTGAAGTTCTACAGAAACTTGCATCCATGCTTTAATGAGCGGGGAATTTCTGATGTGCTTTTTAAGTGAATGAGTGAGTAATATGTTTTATTCACGCTAAGCGATGAATAATTTTGATTATATTCTTTAGAGAATAGCCTACTAACTGACCTGCAGGGCGGCCGAAAGCAGGGCTAATAAAACTTTGCAATTGACTTACGGGAAAAATAGCCTTTCCGTTTTTACGGGATTTTGCAGTCCCTGTTTGGGGATTTTTTGTGAGGATTGTTTCTAAATAATTTTAACCTGGCTTTCATTGCGGGAGAAGTAAAGCGGAGGTAAAGTTCTGAGTTCGGGTGAGCCGCACTAGCTTTTTATTTGAGATTCTGTTTGATTTCAATGCAATTTTATTTAGGTTCTTTTCATTCGCTAAGGTGAGCGAAGAAAACAAAACACTCTTGTGATGAGAGTATTCAGTGGATGGAAGAGGCGTTCTAACTTAAAGTGCTATACTAACCTTTCCTATTTTTTTTTTTTAATTGACGTGAGTTAAGTTGTTTTGTTCGCCGTGGTGAGCGAAAAAACCCTGAAAAAACTTTCGCGAGAAGGATCCCAGGAAAAAAAAGAATGCGGAAAAAAGGTGTTCTAAGTTCTTAGTGTTGTACTAACCTTTTTTTCAGTTTTAATTGACGTGATTTAAGCTGTTTTATTCGCCGTGGTGAGCGAAAAAACCCCGAAGAGTTTTTATGTTAAAGCCTCCGGGAAAAAAGGAAGGGGCGGAAAAAAGGCGTTCTAAGTTGTTAGTGTCATACTAACCTTTTTTCCAGTTTTAATTGACGTGATTTAAGCTGTTTTATTCGCCGTGGTGAGCGAAAAAACGAGGAAAGGTTTTCGTGAAGAGAGATTTCCGAAACAACAGAGTCAATACTCCTTCAGTAAGTTTTCTTGAACTTCATCCGCATATACATGCAGAAAAACAAACTTCTAAAATCAGGTTTTCTTTTTCGCTGATTTTTGTAACGCTTACTGTGCTGATTTATGAATGTAAAATTAAGAAATTCTTACATTCCATTTTCCAT